GTCCAACTTTTGGTTTTTGAGGGAATGTTATATGAACTTGCAAAATACAATTAGCACTTCCAGTATTCTTGGGCACAGTGAGACATGGTTGAGCAGCGACTGGAGCAAACTTTAGCTCTTGCTTTGTGTTTGTGCTGGTTTTCCACTGCATAATTTCATTCTCTTGTTGGGGCAACCCTATTCCAGGAGGGATAGGCATCCGCCCTCGCTTTGAAGAGTAATGGAAAACTTGCTGTTAATAGCTGAAGCATACCTATTCTTTTTTCAATCTATTATATTTCCATTCAGAGCATCAGCGCAGACAGATAGCCAAAGCGTTGCATGTTTTTTGAGCGGTATATTCTGCTGCCTTTAGAGACTGTGGGGCGCTGAATTTAGTCAAAGTGTTGCTTATTTTCCTCTGTTATCTGTCTGCACTGATGCTCTGAACTGAAATAAAATAGATTGAAAAACAAATTGGTGTGCCCTGGCTCCTCGTACTGGATTTTACATTATCCTCTGGGAGAGCTGCTTGCTCTGGCCCTTTGGAGCACCCCAGAGAAAGGTAATGACCCCTTAGCCTCTTTCAACACTCCAAAGACTGAATTACTTTTGGTGGAAGAGGTAAGAAAATTGAATTGCAGTACATGATTTTCTGGCTTTCCAATAACCCTCTTTGTAAGGTCATCATCTTAGTAACAAGAAAACAGGAAACTGGTAAACACACACAAAAAGCATTCAGATTCTGATTTAAGGCTGTCACTGTCCTTAACTCCTCAGAGCTAAAAACAGAAAGTTGCCCATCGCCTGGAGGCTGCTGTTGTACCCAAGGGACTGCAGGGCCAGGTAACACAAGGGAATGAATCTCAGCTTTCCATCCTGCTGCATTTACTGATTTACATGAGTGTTTTGAAACGAGCCTTTAAGTAAGTGCAAAATGGGTAGTGATGGAGTGAGCTCCTCTCACAGGGGCAGGAAGCCTTCCTGGGCTGGGACCTGCACTTACTTCAATGACCACTTTGGATTTTAGCTCCATTAAGCAGAAAGCTAAGAGTGCAGGAACAGGAGGGTTGTTGGGCTGCTCCTGTGAGACCCTCTAATCAGCTCTAACAGAAGTGGCATTTACTTAAGAGAGAGAAGTTGGATTCTTCCATTTTGCTTCTCTCTTTCTGTCCACTTTTATTTTTTTCTACACGCTTTGTTTTAGCTTTTTAGAGTTTGCATAGGATTTGCTTGCTTCTACTTTTGCACGGGGTGTGTGGCTTGGTTTTAGTAAGCTTTATCATCCGTCTGTGCATTGCATTGCACTGCGCTGTCAGAAGAGGGAGCGCAAGGCTGTGGGTTTGTGCCTTTAAAAAGCAGTGTTATGGTATTGCTTAATTCCTTGGCAGTGCAACAATAGTTTGTTGGGGTTTTTTAGAATTTTTTTTTGAAAGCTAAAAAAAGCCTGCTCCATGTGCATCCCAAGGAATAATTTTAGGCATGGAATGCATCTTCAAGCTGGCTACTGAGATGCTACTAATCAACGCAGGAAGTAGCTTTTGGCATTATTTTATTAATGCCAGCAGGTGTGTTGACCAGCACCTTGTAAAAGCCCTTAACTATGGCAGTGAGAGGTATACCTTTTACTAAGGCCGTGGTAGCATTAAAATTCTTTCTGTGCCTTGTGATGGACTTTCTGATGATGTGTGGTACTGCGGCAGCCTCATAACTGCAAGGGAGGGATGGTCTCATCTGTGCATTTCTGGAGCACCTGTCTCTGTAGCATGTAATTGCTGAAGTGCTCAGTCCTAAATTTCAATTATCTTTTGATAAGCGTAGTGATGTGGATGGCTTTTGAATCTGGATTGAAGTAATTATATGAATGATGAAGGGAAGTAATTTAATTTGGAAGCTCCTTTTTGGTTATGTAGACAGAATTGGGTGTTCCTGTTTCTTCCTCCTCTGTGAAGAAATGTTGTTGCTATCATCATATCCTTCTCCTGTTCTAATGTAGCTTAAAGAAAAAGACATGATCCCCTCAAACTGTGGAGGTGTATGAGGACAGAAATACCTGGGAAAAGGGTGAAAGAGGTGGAACTGGATGGTGGAGTATAATATTTGGGGCAGACCCATTGCGGACTTCCTGTACTTGGGAGGTTCAGAAGAAGGGGCTTCTTTTCTGAAGTGGGTGTCCTGAGAGCAGTCCCAGATGATAACTGCTGCTTGAGGATGAACAGGAGGACATTTATCAACATATGTTTAAATAGAGGCTTAGGAATATTGGGCACTTTTGAAAATGTGACTCAAATTGATTGACTTTGCAGTCTCACTGGAAGTCAGTGGAACTGACTCCTGAGCCACCTTGGTGTTCTCCCTGGGAAGCTATCAGGACAAGGCTTAAGATGTCCTTTGATGTTCCTCAAAAGATTCATCATTCCTTTGCAAAGCCCATCTGGAGGGCAGCTAAGATGAGCAAATACCTCTGTCTCCTCTGTCCCCTCTTCTGACTCAAGTGAGCTGGTATTTTGGAATAGGGAAGTGCTCTGGTGGCTCAGGTGTCAGAGACCCCAGAAGCAGCCCACTTATCTTAAGTTTGAAATTCATAAAAGAACTCCAGTGAGCCTGGGTCCAAAGAGGATGCAGAGAAGCAGCTTTAAGCTGAAAAAGTAACAAATGGCTTTTTCTTACCAGTGGTGCTGGCAGAGGTAGATGGCTCATGCTCTGTAAGCAGTCATTGCTGCTGAGGTGTTAGTTACCTGCTCTCAGAGAGATTCCCAGTTCAGCCCAGTCCCAGACAAATCTCCCCAAAACTGTCTAGAAGATGGCTGGGAAATGAAGCTGGACAAACTCAGGTAAGAAATGAGGCATGTAATTTAACAGTTAGAAGAACTATGGCAGTGGAGGGTCCTCCCCCTAAAAATCAGGTCTTATCATGACTGGACACCTTGGTGGAAGAGAAACTTTAGCCAAACCCAAGTTACTGAATCCAGAAATCTAGGAGGCAGTGACGGATGAAAAATGATGCTGGTGGTGGTCCCTTCTGGCTGTAAGCTTTGAATAAAAGCCTGAAGCGTGTTCTAAGTAGGGGGCAATTGCCTTGAGGATGGTCTTGGCCATCACTCCTTGTTAAAAAATATCTGTTCTCTTTGGCAGTACTGGATCTTTGGGTCCCTGTAATTAAAGAAGTAAAATGTATTTAAACAAAGATATCTGATCTAATTGCTCAGGACACATTTTCCAGTGCTCTGGGTTGCTGTAATAAAGAAGGGAGGTGCTGCTAGGCTGCTTTGAGCTTTACTGTTTTGAGCTGTCATGGGCAAATATGTCTTCTATATTCTTGCCAGGAATAGAGGGAGCAGACGGTGCTGCTGCTTCTTCCAGCTTGCCACGATGGAAATGATAGGTTTTATGCAGAAGGCTGTTCATGGCAAAGTGAACAGACACCTCTTCCAGGACATCAGTGTTTCCTCCTTGTCCTTTTGTAGGAAGAGCCACAGCTATTATTAATTAACCAGCAGACCCAATTTCATCTCAGATACTGGAAGTCCTTCAGCTCCAGGGAAGGAGTGGGTGGACTAAAACTGCTATTACAATTGAGCATGGCAAAAGAAATGGGTCTCCTTCTCTCACGACCAGCAGCAACTCTGCTCATGGCAGCTTGGTTACTCTGATCTACAACAGTGTGGGAGGATAGCAGAGCCCACATATTTAATAGGCTAGAAGTGCAGGTGGCCAGCCCTGTGCACGGGGTGAGAGGGTGGATCTGGTACTTGCGAAGTAGCAGAGATGAGTTGCAGACCAGACAGCCTTTTGCAGCGATGTGCCTGGAGAAGCTCTAGCTCCTGGGAAGTAGGAGGGTAGGTAGCTACTTAGGTTTCCCTGCCTTCCAGAAAAGGACCCACCTACCCTGCGCTCTTGCTTCAAAGGTATTCAGATGGAGAGCATGACATCTCTGTTTTGAGGTGATGTCAAAACCATCTGTGATCTTATCCTGATGATTGAAAAGCAAGTTACATAGTACTTTCTCTTTAAAGCACGGGGGAGCTCTTGGCTGAGCAGGAGAGCTCTCTTGTATGGGTGGTATCTACCAACCAGTTGCTCAGCCGTCTGTAGCTTTGGTATGAAGTGATGTCTCTTGGCTCCTCCTGTCTTCCCACAGCTACCACAGGCAGTGCCATGCAGGACAGCTGGAGACCTGCCTGCCTGTGGGCGTGAGGTCCTGCTTCCCACAGAGTCTGAGCTCCAGAGGGGTTGGCACCTTGTGGGAGCGAGATGCCAGCTCAGCCTGCGCCCAGCATCCGCTTGCAACTTGCAATTTGGTGCAAGTTGGAAGTTGCTCTGAGCCTGCTTTTGTGCAAGACAGCACTTCAAGGTGGTGTATGAGCATTGGCTCATTAAAACTTGTGCCCTGATGATAGGCAATATTACTCCTATTCTTTACAAGAGAGTGGGAAGCTGAGTGCAAAGATGTTAAGCAGTTGAAGGTCATGTAAATCGTGTCTATCCAGGTGCTCTTCCTCTAGTGCTCATGCTGTTTTGTTTCAGCATCATTGCCAGCACCAGTGTTAGGCATCCTAGTGTGTAGACAAGGCAGTAACATCTTTATCTTGTCTAGCTTAGATAAAAACACCAGATAGCCCGCTGATAAAAATTTCGTTGGCAGATGTCCTATCTGTTCTCCCTCCTGTAACGGGGGCAGGGGTGAAGAAGTAAAAGTGAGGCTCTGGTGTATGGGATTAGGGCTGTGGACTTCTGCAAGAAATTATGGCTTGGGGGAAAAGACTTGTAAATTGATGAGTTACGACTGTGGTGTGCTGAGAAGGGAGGTGCTGAAGGCCCTGGGCTGCAAGCAGACCTCTATCTCTAACGCTTGCATGCCCCTGCTGATCTTAGTAGTGACATGGAGAGATTAACTGGTCCCAAACCACCTAGTGCTTTGCATGTCAAAACCAGCACCTCAGATTCTCTTCTGTGTTTGGTAGATAGTCTGAACAGATCTTCCTGCCCTTTCAGAAACCAGCTGTTGAATTTGGCATCAGCTCCAGCTTCTGGATGCAGGCAAAGCCTGGCACTGCAGTGCCTGATCTGAAGAGCATTCACACCTCAAGTTGTATGGTAGGAGGAACATCAGGGAGTCTCTTCTCCTTTTTTTATAGCTCCTGGGACTCAGTACTCATTTCCAAGCTCTTTCTGATGTATTTATATTTGAACAGTATCTAGACTCTTCAGCTCTAGTACGGTAGGTTGATGAATTTAGGGAGTGTGAGTTCAGAATGGGGCCTCTTGCTGGAACCACTGAACTGCAGCATAGTAAACTACTAGGAGGTATAAACTGAAAAGTAATTTTTGCTTACTCTTTCCTTCTGTCTGGCTAGTATCTGAGCAAAGTGCTAACAGGATCTTTTTTTTTTTTTGTTTAACTAGCTGGGCTTTGTGAAAGCAGTGTGGAGTCCACAGCGAGAGGAGGCCAGTAGATCCTGGTGCCATGGAGCTTCCCAGTTACAGCAAGCAGCTGCTGCAGCAGCTGTACGCTCTCTGCAAAGAGCAGCAGTTCTGCGATTGCACCATCTTTGTTGGGAATGTTCATTTTAGAGCACACAAGGTGGTTTTGGCTGCTGCCAGCCTGCTTTTTAAATCCTTGTTGGACAGCACGGACACCATCTCCATCGATGCTTCTGTGATGACTCCTGAGGAGTTTGCACTCCTGCTGGAGATGATGTACAGTGGCAAACTCCCCCTGGGGAAACACAATTTCACCAAAGTTATCTCTGTGGCAGATAGTCTGCAGATGTTTGATGTGGCTGTTAGTTGCAAAAACCTCCTCAGGGACCTCATCAGCTGTTCTACTCAGGACCAGGTAGTGAGAGAAGTCTCCAGCCGGGCAGCAGACTCATCTGGAAACCATGCTGAAGCTAATAACCTGCCCCAGTCTGAAAAACCTGATGAAGGAAAAACAGATATCCTCCTTCCTCAGAGAGTTTCCCCTTTTCCTGGCCCTCTAGAAGCAGAAATGGAAGCAGATGTTTCTCCTGGCCAGGAACTTGCCATGAATCACACCTGGGTTCAGCAGAACACGATGTTGAGTGACTCCAGATCCCTCCAGGAGGATTCAGGCTCTTGTCCTGATCAGCCTGCCTGTGCCAGGCAGGGTCGCTGTGTGGAAGAGGAGCTTGCTGAGCCTCTGGATGAGAAAGGAGGAGCGAGGGATTTAGGTGAGACTTTACAGGTCTGGGCTCAGTATTGCCTCTTGTTTGCAACTGCATTGACTCATGTTTTTCTTTTACAGGGCATCTTTTCCTCTCTGTTTGTTCTTTTTAGTTTGCCCTGGGTTGGGAGCAGCACCAACATGTACACCTTTTCTGCAGGGACTTTCTTCCTTTAGCACTGTGCAATACTCTCCTTTGGCCTTTGCAGTTGCTTCTCGCTCACCACTTTGACAGAGCTGTAGCGAGCAAAACTTTTCTTACTCATGCATGTGATTGCATCTGACGTACAGTGGGATCTGCGTTAGTGTAGGACATGAGGTTGATAAGACAATCTGTATAACAGTAAGTGAACAGAGTTGCCTGCTAATGCTACCTTATCCTTTAAACTCCTGTTCAGCATGGGAGGAAAACAGAGACTGTACTGGGTTTAAAATAAATGTTCCATTTATAACTGGTGTTAAATAAACTGTTGGTTTTCCCTCCAGGCAGCGTGATATCTTTGGAAGGGATTTGTGAGTCACAGTTTCCCTATTATAGCCAATGTGCTGGTTACAAACTGATGCCTTTCAATCACATCATACTTTCTGTGAATCCCTTCAATTAGCAAATAACTTGTCTTGTTTCTCTCACACAGCAGCAGAGAGCAAAAGCTGTAAACTGGATTTCTTTCTTCAGTATGAAAGTGTTTTCTCAGAGGCCCTTTCTGATAACCAAGCTGTGCTGAAAAGACTAGAAGAGTGCAGAGAAATTGATGCCTCTCAAAAGGAGGTAGGTGTGTTTACTTGGGTAAATGCTACAAGTTTTTTTTTTTACCCTGCTGAGGGCTAGAATAGTTTGTGCCCTGTTTAGGAAGTTGTTTCATGGGCAACTGGGGCTCTGGTGCCTGGTTGTTTGAAGGACAACACATGCTCACCTGAATAACGCCCTGGAGAGAAACATCTGTAAGAGCAAGCTGCTCATGCACATAGGTGAGGAAGTATATGTCCTGCCCTGAAGATATCTTTGTTGTGTTGTAGAAGAGCTCCAGCACTGATTTCTGTCCTCCTGTTTATGGCATTTGCTTTGGGAACTGTATTGACTTGTAAACGACTGACATATGAGATCCCAAAATAGACTTCCCGAGCCCTCAGTGAGGGCTTGCCGCGGAGCATCTGCTCCACTCTGCGTATGGCAGGCTGCTTGTGGGGAGCCTTTGGGGGGGGGGGGGGGCTATGGGTGCCACCCCGCTGAGCTTCTCCTGGCGATGTGCCGCTTTAAAAGCAGTCGTCGCTGATGAATGATGCTTGAGTTACTGTTGGAGGGGATATTTGAGTCTGGTGCTTGGTTAATCCTAAAGGATACTGATACTCTGGGCTGTGAACAATGGTAAACAGATACCAGCTGTCGTACCGGCTCAAAGCCACTGCAGAAACAGCAGGTTACGTCCGTATTGGTATAGCAGTGGTGCAGGACACAGAGCTTGGAAATGATTGTGTCAGGAGGGCACTCGCGCTGGCTGCACGCTCCTGCATGATCGCAGGGTCTATGGAAAAAGCTGTGGCCACTATGGAGTGAGGATGGGACTGTACTTGCTCTCCTCACCCGGGCTGTTTTGGATAGAGTGTTTCTCATACCAGGCTGCATGAACTACCCTGCGTACCTTTTCTGTATGTGGAAAAATGAGAGTGCGACTGTTTTATTGACAGCTCTTCAGTGGCTTCATGGTTAGCTGACCTTTTGAAGCCAAGAAATGCTATTCCTTCGGTTGGGGGGCTGCAGTGCTATCTAGGTTTCCATGCGCTTGCTGGCCAGGAAGCTGTCTGGATTCAAGTCACTTGGTCCCCAGTATGACTATGGGACATGGGACATTTTGGCTGTGGTGTTGTTCTGCTTTTAAAAACCCAAGGCAACATGCTTATTAGAAAAAAAACGTATGACAGCAGGGAGGAGAATTCCCTTGAGTCAGGGAGTGCAGGTTTCTTCTCTGACGAGCCTTTAAATGTTCACGGAGGGAAGCCCGTGTTCCCTTAGCTGCTGACCTTCCTAATGGTGTTGAACTTAACATCTCTGGGGCTTTAGGAGGGAAATGTGGGTCCTAATTAGTGTTTGTAGCAGCAAGCCCAAGCCTGACTGGGCTGACAAGCACCTGTGAGTGCATTGCTGTCAGCATGCCTGTGCACCTTGAGAAAGATTAGGTTTTTGTACATTTGTTCATCACCCTGATCGGAAAAATATGTCAGTTTTAAGGTTTTACCTATTCTGCACCTTGGCAATTGGAGCAGAGCTGGGGAGGGTGCTGTGTGATGTGGATGGGTGCTGCCAGAAAGGATTTGGCAGCTCCATGCACCCATGACAGCAGGCATCACCTGTACTGGTATGCCTTCGCTTGCCCAGTTGTGCTGCCTCCATGGTCGCAGGGCAGAACCACACCAGCAGAATGCCCAGGCAGGCATGCTGACTTGCTTTTGCTCTGCATAACAGCCCCATTTTCTATTGCTTTGCAGTAACTGTTGTTTTGTGTTTCTTCAGCGCCTCCAACACCCAGCAGGTGAGGTTTGCAGACCTGTGCCTGGCTCTTTATGCTCCCAAATGAGCTGTTGCAGCAGGAGCCAAGCGAGAGGTTGTGGAGCTCGGAGACAGTTTGGGTGTCTGACCACAAAACGGCAGCTGGACAACTTCTCTGCAGCTATAAATAAATGCTGAATAAATGAGAAATGGATTTTCTCTAAGCCTTCCTGAAAAACCACTTCTCAGCTGTGACAAGCATGAAAAGTGTCAGCCCCAGGGCAGTGGGGGACACAGACTGCAGCCTGTTGTAAGCGAGGGCTCAGCCAGATCTGTCCCTCTCTGAGCTCCCATCTGGGACAAGCAGGACCTGTGGCCACCGGCACTGAGCCTGGGCAATGTTTCCAGCAGACAGAGTAGCTTTTCCCCACAAGGGCCCAGTATTTTCTTCAGGGGAAACACAGCGGTGTGTTTTTAAAGTCATGCTTAAAGTGCAAGTTCAGCTCCAAAGAGCCCAGCTTGGGATGCATAATTAAGGCTGAGATTGTGCCAGTGGTAGGCGTCAATGGATTATTTTTTTTCCTCTCTCCTTCTCCCCCTCCCCACCCTTTTTTTTTTTTTGTATTATTTTGCCAGTCATTTGCTTGAAGTCTTTTAGGTGCCTCAGAGCAAGTAAAAGTCCGTCTGGCAGCCAGTGAGATGCTGTTTCTTTGTACTAAGCAGTCTTGCTGGGTGTGCTTGCCCTGCTGCAAGGGAGATCTCCCATCCCTCCTGCATGTCCTTCTGCTCAGGAGCCTTTTGTGGGTGGCTTATCTCCATAGGCAAGCAGCGATGTGTTTTGGACAGCAAAGCCTGGGCAGCGTGGGGGCTTGCGGGTGTTCATGGGGGTTTTGCAAGCCTGCCTGTTGACACTGAGGCTGTCCAGGTGTTCAGGCTCCTTTGGTTTCCGTGGGATTTTGCCTTGGATGTAGCCTCTGTATTTCTATTCCTTTGCTTGTGAGCTTGTCCCTGCATGGGTGCCTTGTTCCCCACAGTGCTCCTGTCTGCTCCCCTCTGGTGTTGCTGCCTTATTTCCTGCTACCTCCAGCAGAGATTTGTTAGGTCGTGAGGTTTTTCCCTAAGGAGGTTTGTGGTGCAAGGCTTGCTTTTGTGAGAATTGTTGCTTCTCTCCAAGTTTGATGTTACGTTCTGCTCCCTGGGCTGAAAAATGCAGATTAGTTGCTTTTCTATTTAGGGAGATATGATTTTTGAGGTTGTTTTTGTTTTAGAGTCTCTCTGTGTATCTCACATAAACTATTCCTATTTAATTTGGTTCTGGCCTGGATGAAACCTGCTTGGAAATGAGAACAAGACTGAAATTGCAGTAATTTGGGTAAGCGTAGAAGAGCTTTGCTGGTGTCAAGTCTTATCTTCCTGTGCTCTCTTAGAGAAACTCAATTCAAATTATTGCACAGCTCATTTGTTCCCTCTACTTCTGGGTTCAGATGAAGTGGGGGAGCGTTGATTCTCCCACGTAGAATAAATGTCACTGTGCTTGTGGATCATTTCCATTGCCTATGGGCCTGTCCAATTATTGTCGTCCTTCATTTGCAGCTGCAGGGATTTCTGGATGCGGCAGAAGAAAGAAGTTTCCTGTTATCTTCTGCATCCTGATTAGGGGTGATAGGTTGTGAGGGTTTTATTTTGTAGTGGCAGAGCTGGAGAACTTTTTTCCCCCTGTTCTGGTGTACTTGTGTGGAAGTTTGGGCTGAGCTTTTGTTCCTGTTGCAGGGAGCAAGCAGGGGTCAGCATTCTCCATGGAGTGTTGCTGGTACTGGGGTGTCCCTTGTTAGTGATGTACAAATGCAGACTTGAAAAAAAAGCACTTCAGATTTCTGAACTAGAAATGGGAACGTAGTTTTTCTCTGATTATTGTACGCATAGTGATAATTGATTGACTTCATGGTGCAGTCATGGCCTAAGAGCTTCTCTGTGGTCCATATGTGTAGAGCCCCCCCTGTGCTGTCCATGCCATCGATGCTGCAGGCAGCAGCTTTGTCCGTGCGGATTTCCAGTGGCTTTTTTATATTTGCTTCATGTTATGCACATGGAAAATTAACCAGTAAAAAAATCCAAAGCAGCTCGTCTTCATAGAGGACTGATGATTATATCTCTGGAAGTTTCCCCGCGGTGCCCAGCCTCCTGCTGTCAGGGACTTTGCAGCTTGCTGAGTGGCCAGTGCAGCTCTCCTCAGGGAACGGAGGTGGCATTGAGGTACTGGCACAGGATTTACCACATTCAGGGGTGAGTCTTGTAACTGAATGTGCCTCAGCTTGTGAGGGAGGGGTCTGAAGGGAGCTAGCTTCTTCTGTCACCCTAAACCCCATGGCTTTTCAGTCTGTCTCTTGCAGATCCTTCCCCACCACACTTGGAGTGCTTGCATTCACCCTAAAGGTGATGCTTGAGAGAGATCACTCAGTAATAGTCAGTGAAGTGGCTTTTTGCTGAGATGTGCTCTCATGGTGAGAGCAGGAGCATGGATAAGGCATGAAAAGCCATAACCCTGCTCACCCACCTGCAGAGAAGAGGCTAGTGGCCAGCTGGGCTAGTGGCTGCACTGAACAGCCCTCCTTCTCTTCCCACATCCCTCTTTAGTCTCAGTTATGGGCCATCACACTCTTGGGTGGGATGTGCATTACTTGCCCATCTGGTTGAGGTCCTCTCTGGGTCCCAGGACATCCCTCAGGTTGGTACACCAACTGAGTTCAGCCCAGCCCAGGCTCAGGGTCGCTCCCTCCAGGGCCAGCCACCAGCTGCTCTTTGAGCATCCCTGTCCCCACCCAAAAAACTTAATCTCACGATCATGTTGGAGCGGGAGGTGGAGGTCTTGGAGGCACTGGTTTACTAGGAGTGTTGTAGATTGGTGTGAGGAGGGAAATGAGTGGCTGGGAGGACACAGTGCTAACTCAGCTCTTGCACATTTCAAAAGCAGGTTGTAGCTCTGCACAAGCAGCCTTGTGCGTCTTTCCTACCCAAAGCAGCAGGGTATGCTGGAAAGAGCAAGAAATAATAAGGAGCAGTGGGGCAGAGCAGGAGATCCTGTGATGGGGCAAAGGGACATGGCAGTGTAGGAACTGATTGTATTAGGAAAGAAATCTGGAAAAATGTGGAAGATGCGCACATGATATGGAGATAGGCGTTACCTGCAGAGATTCCTGTTCAGAGCTTGCCTTGGGGCTGCTGTGGAAATGGGGAGGTTTGAGATGAACTGGGAGGGCTGTTTCATGGTGTGTGACCGTTGTGGTACTGAGTTAGGAGTGTTGTGGCCACCAGAACTGACATCCTCAACTGGGACCAAACTTCTTGCTGGACATTGAACCTATTTGGTGGCACAGCTCAAGCTTAATCTAGGTCTCGGTGACTTGGTTTCCCTGCTCAAAGAGATGGTCTTTTGCTCCAGTCTGGAAGCTGGATATCTGCTAATTTGTGCCAGTTTGGCCATGAAGAGTTTTGCAAGTGTCCCAGGCAGTGAAAGCCTAATGGATCAGGCTGTAATGTGTGGGCACATTATGACTAAGTGGAAGCTGGGATTCCAGCTAATACCAGTATTTCTCCGTTTTTTTCCAGGATCTCTGGGAATTGTTAGTGCTTCGAAGTAAGTCTAAAATGTACTGTGTGCTCTTTCAAAACAATGCTAAAAGGCTGTTGTTCCCACTGAGCAATGTGTCCGAGGAAAGGTCTTCCAGAAAGAGACTATAAATAGCAGAGCCCTTCAGTTTCTGAAAACTCATTTCCATTAACCAGATCTATGCACTGAGGAAGAGATGTTATCTGGAGCTCTGGGTAGCAATGCTGTGCTGGTTTTAATTAAAAAAAAATATTAAAAAGAAAAAAAACAGTGCAACAATGCACGTTACTTTTCATCTATATTAGTAAAACCATGTATTTGGCAGGGTGCTGAGCACCTTTAGGATGGTGAGAGTCAAGATTTTTTTTGTGTTTTAGAGGATCGTTTTGATCTGGAAGGGGGCCATGCATGCAAACCTTGACAACAAACATGATCTGGTTATCAAGTCTTATTACAAATTAATGTTTGCATTAAAAAAATACCTTTAAGCTTGTTCTTCAGCACGTCTGTGGCATCTCCTTTCTTCCTTTATAACAGAGCCCTTCATGTCCATGTCTCTCTGTTCAGCAGGAAAAATGCCGTTAGCGGGTAAGAGCTGGGACCCCTGCAGCTTCCCCTCTGTGGATACTCTTTGCAATAGGTCATTGCACTGTCACGCTGCCCTAATATATGAGCATTTACACCTGCTAGGAAAAGCAAGTCCACCATCCCCCTGGTGAGGCCCCAAGCAGTTGCATTCAGTCTTTTTATCGTGGAAGTAAAAATGACAATGACAGCAGAAAATGGCCGCTCTCTCTGGAGCTGGGCTAAGCTCTCCACTTCAAAGGTACTTTTATAGCATCCCTGGAGTCTCTAATAAAGGACGCCTGCTCTGAAAGGCTGCCATCTCTCCTGGAGAGCTGGGGAGCGTGTGTCTTTAGGGGCAATATTTACAGCGTTAAAGGGCTCCGGGGAAATGGGAGCAAGAGTTACAGCTTATTTCTTTTCCTTTTATTTCCATAACTGTGCAGGCATATTTGCTTCTGGTTGCTGTTTTGGGTCACTGGAGTTGATTTTGGAGCTCTGGGCATGATTGCCAGGCCTGCTGAGAGCCCACGACACTCAGAGTTTGCGTGCCTCCTCTCCAAAGCTTTCTCTAGGAGATGCAACTCCATTGTGACTTGAGGATGGAGATTCCTGAAAGTCCCACTTAAAATGCTCTCTGCTTTCTGTGCAAGTGATCATCTGTCTTTGTTCTGCAGTGAAATCTAGTATCCCTTGCCCTAGCCTTGGGCTTCCAAAGTAACAGTGTTTAAACCATGTTTTATTAGGTCTCAGACTTACTGGCGTTTGGCTGTTAGGGGGAGAAATTAAGAGATGTCTGGTACTGGAACCAGCTCCAGTTTGTGGGACTTGCTGTAAAGATAAGGGTTGGCGGGCAGGGCTTGCTGCCCTCCTTCCCGGGGCTGGTGGCCGCAGACTGGAGCTTGAGTGTGTGTCTGTGTGGTTATTTTTTTGTTTTGTTTCTTTTTTTTGTCCCCTGAGCAAAAAAACCCCTCAGGATTCTGCTTTTTTTGTCAGTTTGTATAGGGCAGTTGAGTCTGTTATTAAAAACCTTCCCTGCATTTGCCTGTTTCATTGTAGGCTCTGGTTGCCTGTCTGACAGAGGCGGGGGAACAGTCGGTGTTCAAGAAGCTGCTGAGCAAAGTGAAGGATGCTCAGACCCTCGTATCTTTACTGAAGCTGTTTCAAGATGCAAATCCCAACCTCAGAGCAGCTTTGCTGGAGAGGGAACAGGGCAGCAGAGAAGATCTGCAGCAGACAGGTAGAGAATTGGGTGCAGCCTCTGGCAAAGTGAGCGGGCAACCTTACAGGCAAAGCGGGTCTCCAGAAACCCTGTGTCCTTACTCGGATGCAGGAGGCTTATCCCGTGCTGGCCAGCATCCTGGAGTGTTTCTGTCCCACAGCAGTGGGGTGTAGGCAGCGCAGGGCTCTTCCCATCGCTGCCTGGAGGGCTGGATCGATGGCAGCGCAGCCAGCATGGGTCAGAGCACAGCTGAGCCTCAGGATTGAAAGCTCCTTTCTTACTTGAGTCTGACACAAAGCAGTGGCCTTGCAAACCTGGTGTTAACCTCCAGCTTGCTTTATGGCTTTGTGCTCTGTTAGATAAATGAGACGTTTTCCTTTCATAGAGTTTAAAGAGAATAGTAAAGTGGTTTTCCTCTGCTGCTTGTGCTTGGGATGAGCTTTGCTATTCACTTAGATCTTTCACAGAGTCTCACTCTCTTCAGGAGCCTGTCAGTTCCTTCAGACTGACTTGTTTCTTCTCTTGTGTTTCTGAATCCTTTTCCCCCTAGAGACCACAGACGAGGCAGAGACACTGACCGCTCGCTTGCTGGGACACAGGGAGGAGCTGATCCAGAGTGTGACACAGCTGAGCCCCATTGTAGAGTTCTTGGAGGCAGCAGAAGAGGGATTCCTGACCGCCTCGGAGAAGCGGGTAAAAGAATCTGAAATAAGGAAAACTCTGTGAGGGTGTGTGGGGGGGTGTGTGTGTTTGCAAGGCAACATCTTATCGCATGGTTTGCCAAGTGATGCGATAGCTTCACCTGGCAATTTCACCTCCCTTTTGCACAGCATAGACTGCACATGTGTTGTTTCAGGTCCTTCTGTGCTGAACTGTGGGAATAGTGAAAGCTGAGCTGTGAAGGCCACCCCAAGACCAGGATGAACACTGCCTGGTACAGTGTCAGACTGCCCCTGCAAGCAGCGCCTGGGGCAGAGGAGCAGAGGAGGTGCCTGGTACTCCTCGTAGGCCCTGAAAATGCCTTTTGTAAGCCTGGAGAAGGCTCTGTAGTGGAGTTTGGTTTCAGCAGAACCACTGATACCTCTGTGCTGCCTGCTTGCTAGTTACATCCTTCTGTGCTTGGTCATCAGCTTACCTTTCAGCTGACTCGCCCAGCTTTTACTCTTATCACACAGTTGCTGCAAGAGTAGCACATCCACTGACTGATTTTTTTTTTTTTCTTGTTTAATGTGTTGAATGCAGCAGTTGGTGGGGAAGACTGTTGCTTTCCTGTAAGCAATTGCATTATGTGTGCTGATTTGCAGACACCATAAAGGACAAAATATTGTGTATAACCTGCTTTCCTTTGTGTTTTGGGTGGATCTGGCTATACCCCGCCTGTGCAGCTGAAACTTGCAGGGTGCCCTAGCATGCTGCGTTCAGTACACAGCTTGCACACCTCCTGTCCTAGTTTGTCACATCAGTTAGTTCCCCTGACGCAGGATTATAGCAAGTGGAAAGCACCGTTGTGCTCAGTGGCATGAATGATGTCTGCTTTCTGTCTGAGTGAGCCTGACCAGAGCCACGACAGGTGGGCTGAGAACCTCTGCCTGTCTCTTAAGTCCCTCAATTATTGTCTTGCTCACTTGCATGCAATGCCTGACCAAGTGTCCAGTCTGGAGCATCCCTGAGTATGGGCGCAGCTCGGTGCAAGGAGGGCCAAAGAAGGTCCTGCCAACAGAGGCATCCACCTTGTCCTCGTGGGCTAGGGTGTGACTGGTGGCTGATGAATTTTCCCCTCTGAAAGCAGCATGGCTGAGCGTGGAATGGGGATGTGAGAGGAGAGAGCAAGGCGTGAATGCAGCAAAGGACTTGGCATCTGCTGGGGATATTTTGGCTGTCGACAGACACCTGCATGGGGGTGCCTGGAGCTGAACTCCTAGCTGTGGAAGCTGCATCAGCAGTGGGGAGATTAGGATTTTTCATATATGCCTGTTCATGTTGCAGTGTGGTCTTTCTTTTAAAGCCTGCACCTTTTCCCTGCACTCTTCTTTTTGTCCTAATGAAATTAGGTAGTTAAAATGCAGCCATTTTTTATTTTCCTTCCCATTGAAAAAAAAAAACAACAAAACACCCAACAATAAACCAAAACCATTCTGCCATAATTCTGTTCCTTGGGCACAGGATACAGCCTTTAATTGCATCATCATATACTAAGGTACTCCTGCCTCGTTTGGTGAAGGGGTAGTGTTATTCAGTATTTCTCTTTATCCTCTTCAGTCACTCTATGCTCTGTTTGCTGCAGAGCCTCCAAACCCTGCTGTGAATACAAAATCTTTCTTCTCTCTATGGGATCCCTTCATGTTCTTGTTTTAGCCCACAGGTTCCCAGCAAATAACAAATGTATTTGGGGAGCACTCCAGTGAAGCTGGGTGCATAGCTTTTTCTCTGCTGTGGCACAGGAAAATAAGGCAGAAATTGCCAAGTGTAGACTGACCTTGGGGGGTTCCCCTTTTTTCAGGCTTGTTTTATTTGTTTATTTCCCTGCTCCCCTCAGACAAGTGGAAAAGTGCTTAATTATTTCAAAAGTTAAATTAAAATGGTGGGCCTGTGGCATATGTGCAGTTGAGATCTCTGGTGTGTCATGTGCAGTACTGGGAAAACGAACATGGAATTAGGAGCCACCTCTGAAGGTTTCGTCTTACCTGATTCATCCAGCACTGCACTAGAGCTCTGGGCTGGCAGAGTTAGGATCTAGTTCTCCAAGGGTTCATAAAGACAAGGCTTTCCTTTTTCTTCTCACAGTCACTGCCTCATTAGCTACACATTTATTCAGCAAGACAAGTGTGAGTTTTACATGTAACAGCCTTTTTTCTAGGCAGCTGGGTTCTTTCTGTGCCTGGTCCAAGCTGTGCATGGAGCAAGTCTAATTTTCTTTGCTGGAAAACCAGTACATGATGTGTTGTGAAGGCTCTTTGTAAATCCCTGGTTTTCTGGGGAACTTTTTACGCAGCATTTCTATTTTTTGAGTGCTTAACTTTGTGGCTTTATTAGTGTTTCTGTAATGTGGAGAGGCAGGGTGGAGGATTTGAGGGGATGTCTTGGATGCAGATTATCACTTAAAAGAAATAAACTTGGATACAAAGGAAGAGCATGTGCATGGTGTCCCATTGCTTAAGTTGTTGCAGAGTTCAGAGTTCAGTCCACAGTACAGCCCTGAACCTGGAGCATCAGAGTAGCTGGTAGAAACACCCGTCCTTTCCTTCTGTCTGGGCTCTCTTCTAAAGGGGACTTGGGTTATTTTGAGCTATGTGCTTTCCCTCCCCTTTGGCTCCAGTGCCTGCATAGCTTGATGCTCAAACCAAACTGCTTCAGAGCTAGGACAAGTACCAATGACAACACAAGCGAGGTTACTGGCTGTTGCAGGAACGATCTTAACTGGACACACTGGGGGATGGAAAAGTCCTGCTGCAAGCAGAATGGGGAGATGTTTTCTGACCATCTCACCTGGTGTTGTCAAAATGAGTCTCAAAATGTCAGCACTGCATCTGGCACTGCCAGGGACATCACTTCTGTGCCTGCTGACACTTGTCTGGGAGCAGTGGTAGGTTACAGCGTGAACTCCCCAAAAGGATGCTGCTCTTGTACCCCTTTTTGTGTTCTCTTAAAAGAGGACTTCAGTCTGAGAGATCCAGAGTCAGCTCAGTGTGAATTAGATGGGAGGATATGTCAACAGGTTCACTAACAGAGTTTTGGCTATAAAAGGACAGATCTTCAGAAATGAGAGAAACTAATTAATGAGATCAGCTGCTCGTAAGAGCGCAGGAGGAGCTGTTGGATTAGTTTCTTTTATGTTAAAGGTAGGAGAATTGTCTGAAGTTTGCATCCTGAACAAGAGAGGAGAATTTGTATGAGAGGTTACAGACCTGAGTGAATGAATAACTTGAGGAAGAGTATTAGGACCTGCAAGGAATGTCTGAAATGTCCGACAGGCAAAGAAATGTACTTTAAGGTATGGAGAGAGGCCTGTGGCACGTCAGGCTGCTGGGCATCATGGCACATACCGTGACAAGCAACAAACATTTGTCTGACCAAGTAAAGGAAAAGAATAATGAGAGGAGATGACCTGCAAACTCAACGGCTGAGCCTAGGGCCAAATCCAGGAGAAACACAGAAACAGAGATTTCCTGCAGCTGAAGTGAAATCACAACTCAAAGGGCATCCCCCAACAGAGTGGAGGAGCTAACACGTGGCTATGAGAGTGACAGCAAGGTTTATTACTTTATTTTCCAAGTTGAGAGTGGTCCCTACAATTGATGACCAGGACAGATGTGTGGGAGAGGGAAACACTGGTCTAGGCAGTCAGCTCTGTGGGTGCACAGGAATATGTGTTGGGACAGGCTGGAGGGCATATGTAGCTGCAGCACTGCATGTAAGCAAAAAACAATGGGATAAAATGCAGTAGAGGGTGTTCAAGTAAATTGTTTCTGCCTGACCTGGAATCTTTATTTGATGAGATAAAAATGGTTTTTTCTGCCTCAATCTAGACTTGAGCAAAGCATTTGAATTTCATGTGAGGAAATTGTTAAACTAGAGGAAGCGGTGATATTAAAAAAGGATGTGTCTTATTGGGAGATAACTACAGATTGTGCTGAAAGCAGGACTGACAGGTTGGAGCAAGGTTACCAGTGGGATTCTTGGCACTTACTTAATATTCACACTAATGTTATTGACACAAAAATATCAAAGCATGCTTAGCAAAACTTGCTGATGAGCAAAACTGGGATCTTTTGTCCACACAGAGGACGATCTGCAAGAGGGAGAAGACTTACATGGCTGCAGAACTAAGTAGTGAGAACTGAATGACGTGGTAGTGTTAAGTGAAGGGCGTGCATTTAGATGCAGTAACAAGAACTAAGAATTAAGACCTCATCTGAAATTTCTGTGTGCAGTTCCAGTCTTGTTCAAAAAAGATGAATTTGTATTGAAGCAGCGACAGATCTGCAGTCGTAAGATCAGGGGAGTGGAGAAGCTGTTTTATGAGAGGAGCTGCTTTATTTAGACAAGTGAAATGATGACTGAGAGGGAATATGATCGTGCTCTTATAAAGAGATTGGAGAGGAAGGGTAGGGTAAACACCTCAGAGAGTTTAGAAGGCTTTTTAAGCTAAAAGATGATGTTGGCACATGAACAAATGGGTATACACTGGCCATGAATAAATTTAAGCTGAAAATTAGAAGAATCAACAGGGGAATGAGACTCTGGAAGAGCTTTCCAACCAGGGGAAAGGGAGCAAAAATGTAACTAGTTTTAGGACAGATCTTAATAATTTTATTAATGGGACTGTGTAGTGTAGTGCTTATGACAGCAGGGAACTGGGCTGGTGACCTACAGAGTTTCTGCCAGTCCTACATTTCAAATGCTTAGGAACACAGCATTTGCAGAGAGGAGGTCAACCTGTATTTGTCAACTGGCTTTCCCTTGTAGGAGCCTTGTAGGAGCCTTGTAGGTATTCTACTGGCATACTAGATCTTTTCCAAGTGATTGCATCTCACATAAGAGATGTCTCATGTGGCCTTGTCATAGAAATAATCATTCAATTAATAGGATGCTTGTTTAAATAATGAGAGTCTTTTTTTTCTTTTTCTGTCCATCTCTGTCTTTTGATGACAAGCAGAAAAATTGGGGAGACAAGGGTGTCCTGGTTTCAGCTGGGATAGAGTTAACTGTCTTCCTAGTAGCTGGTACAGTGCTGTGTTTTGAGTTCAGTATGTGAAGAATGTTGATAACACTGATGTTTTCAGCTGTTGCTCAGTAGTGTTTAGACTAGAGTCAAGGATTTTTCAGCTTCTCACAGTGTATTCCATACCATGGGACGTCCTATCTAGTTTAGGAACTGGGAAGTGGGGGGCAGGGATTCGCCGCTCGGGGACTGGCTGGGTGTCGGTCTGCAGGTGGTGAGCAATTGCTCTGCACATCATTTGTACGTTCCAATCCTTTTATTACTACTGTTGTCATTTTATTAGTGTTATCATTATCATTATTAGTTTCTTCTTTTCTGTTCTATTAAATCGTTCTTATCTCAACCCAGGAGTTTTACTTCTTTTCCTGATTTTCTCCCCCATCCCACTGGATGGGGGGGGAGTGAGTGAGCGGCTGCGGGGTGCTTAGTTGCTGGCTGGGGTTAAACCACGACAAAGGGAAAAGAGACTGCCAATTTAAAAAGTATTTACTAAAATTATTAGATTAAATACTGTTTTGAACCCTATCATTAAGTCCATTTTTGTTTCCTTTGAAAAAATGGTTTTTTGCTTGTCAGCCACTTCCAAGAGCTACACTTGGTGGAAGAACCCACCAGGGTAGTTTTCAAGGTGACACATGTCAGATTAGCTGGGACATGTTAAATTGTTCCTGTAACTAGCACTCCATAACACCTCCCAGTTAATCAAATGAGTGAAAGCAGTGGATATGGATTTATTGCAGTACTGTGATACTGTTCCTGGTTCTCTGATCTCTGTTCAGATCCAAGAATTTATAGGAAGCTCTCACAAACAGGTTCTTGGCTGTTTCTTTGTCGCAGGTAGTTTTGGATTGCTGTGAAGGCAGCTCTCAGAGGGAAGCCATGGACAATCTGCTCAGGAAGGTAGATGAAGAGAAAACCCTGAAAGCGGAAAGTTTGGTCAAACTTCTGGGGGCTGTGAAAGCATCATTCCCTGGTCTCCACCTTCTGCTAGACAACTTGGTGGCAACAGCAAATGTCTCTGATGGCAAAGGTATGGGTATACTAAACTTCAGAGCCTGGGGGCTCGCTTCAGGGAATTGCCAGGGAGTTTGGATGCTTGTCTGGACTTCAGCATGCTCTTATAATCTTACTTTCATGTAGGAGAATGGGATGGCCATTTTATTCAAACAAAAATGGTCTGGGAGCACTGGGGTAGGAGGGCTGTGCCAGCAAGAAGGCCCCTGCTTTGCAATGAAATGAGCAGTGTTGGGCAGAAGCCTGTTGGGCTCCTTCCTTGAGTTTCACACTGATTGGGTAGAAGCTAGGATGTCATCTCTGGAAAAGAGGAGAACTGTTCCCTCCGGTGTCAAATTACTTTTTGATTTTGAGTCACTTAAAAGCAGCAGCAGCATGTGTCTCCATAATAAATAGAACAATTTTCACATAATAAATGCTTCATAGGCGAAGGCATCTTTACCAAACTCTGGTTCATTGGTGACCTTAACATATGGTACTTGCTGGCTTTGAAAGCGAATACCTGAAACTTCCCAAAAGTCATAAATGTTTTGACATTAAATACAGGCAATGTCTTACCTGGCTGCTGTCTTTGTGAATTCCTTGTGATTGAGGGAGATTGTGGGGAAAATTTAGTTGGGCTGTGCACCTGTCCTCGATCCAGGTAGCATTTCTGCATATGGTGGTCACTGACTTGTGGTCTCCTGTGTGGAGCAGAGTGTGCTGATGGGAGTCCCACACTTAGTGTCTCTATTAGACATCATGACCTTGGATAGCTAGTCCCCTCCTTTTTGTTTTGGTGGGGTTTTATTTTTTGGTGCCTGCCTATGGTGATTCAGGGACTCATGAGTCCTCATCTTTTGACTGGTGGGACAGCCTTCCAAGTTTGAGTGGGTTTAGGCACACACCTGAGCAATTCCGATGGAGAGGCAAATTTCACCAGCTCTGAAGTCACATAAAAATTAAAAACTAAATTAACATGCAGTGAAATGTAAATGAGTGTTTAATAGAAGGCAAAACTGTGCTCATAATGCTGATAATTTCCTCTGTAGCAAACATTCCCGACAGGCAGTTTGCTTTGTCATTTGTTAAGCACGATTGCTTTCTTGAAACACCAGACTCCCAACATGGTTAATTATCTAGTGGTAATACCTATTCCAAGGAGGAGCATTCCTTAATTACATAGAGTTGAATCTCCTCAAATTGCAGCTTGAGCAAACAGAAGCACAAATATTCCTTACTGTGGAAATAAAGAAGGAGGGAATGATTTGAGCCACTGATGGCAGCCTTTGATGTCCTGTGCTGTCTTGCTAACAGAAAGGAGGATGTCTTGTACACTGGCATAGGGCATGCAGGTTATGGAGCCCACCTTGGTACTGCAGCTGAGCTGAGAGCGCATTCATAACAGCTCAAATTTGTGTAATAAAATCAGAAACATTCCAATGGGAGAAGGGGGAAGATACTTTTATTTGTAAACCATCCATGTGGGGCACATCCAAGTCATACCTAAACACTATGGAGCTCAAGCACTTAATGAGGTTGGTACTCCCACTTTGCCAGGGAGTAGACTCATGTCTCCAAGAAATCTTTGTCCAGGGAGTTTTTCATATTAGCTCAAAATCTTCTGTTGATTATTCCCACAGCCTGCCATTGCCTCCTTCACCATCCTGGAGATCTTTCTCTTCTTACCTGGCACCGTAGGTTTTCTGGGTCCCAGAGACTGTATTTTTTATTTTTTTTTCACCAAGCTGTGTGTATTTAGCTGCCTTTCTCCCAAGTAGTGCTGTGTGAATAATAGATTGTTCTGTCTGGTACTGAACCAAAATGATTAAAAGACCTGAGCACATAAACAAAAAACATGCACAGACGTCTTGGATGAACTGCAGTTTTTTGTTTTGGTTTCTCCTACAAAAGTATAACTATGCATCTTCTCCAATTTAGTAACTCCAAGAGTGAAAAAAATCCTTTTCAGATTCATCTATTTGGCAATTTCCAGTTTTATTTATCAACTAATCTGGCAATAAGTACAATCGTATATTACTTTTGGTACACAGTAAGTTTTGCCCAAGTCTCTTCATTATCCTGAATAAACACTGTTCTTTCTTGAATTAGTCCATTGTATCCTGATACCGGAGTGTCTTTAAAGGGTTGTGGTGTTACTCTGGAGTTGTTTCTCAGATTTATTGGGGCAAGCCTCAGCAGACCCAGCTTGGAATTAGATATGGGAGGGTGAAGGAATGAGGTTGAAGTTGCATTTCTTTGGTGTAAGGGAGAGAAGAGGGTATTACTGCTGCTTTGCAATCACAAGTCTGGTTTGTGTTCCCTTAACATTTTCAGCAAGGACAGCTCAGCCCACTAAGTTCTTCATTACCTTGGACCATCTGGGTGTTCGTAAAATGTTAGCATGTTTGATAGTCATACACCGCTGAGACGGAGCATGCTGCAGAGCTCCTTCTCAGTGGAGCAGCTCAAAGACTCTCACTTACAGACATCTTTCAATGAAACTACAATTAAGAGTCAGTAATGGGGTCTCCTTGATTCCAGGCCATCAGAAGAGGCTGATGAGCATCTCGAGGTGTTATCTTCACAGACAAGGCCACATGTTTACCTGCTGAACACGGCTGAAGACTGAGACTTTCTTCTTCTTCTGGGCTCAGACCAGGACTGAGACTTGGAAGGCATTTGGGTGCCAGAGATCTATTTCTGTAGGGGCATATGGGCAGAGGATATTCTGTGTTGTCTTTGATCTGGAGCAGTTTTGATTTGCCATGTGTTTTGATTTGTCATGTTCATCCTCTGCGTGAAGGTGAATCCAGGTGTCCTAAGCGTAAGGCCCTGAGCATTAGTGACCCAGGGACAACTGGTTGCTTTGGCTTTTTTGTTATCCCCTAGCTCTGAAGCCCTTTGGGAAGGTGCTGCAAGCTGAGCTGTTCTTATTTTCATTCACTTGCATTCAGCTAAATGGACCCCAGAGGATTATGGAGCCAAACTGTTAAGACAATACCGACAAAACTTGGTGGAGCTCCTCACAGACACCCAGACACTGTTGCAGGGTATCTCTGCTGCACAGAGCCTGGCTCCTACTGAGAGAGAGGTAAGCAGTCTCCTGCATGTGTGCAAGCAGATACTGAGCTTTAATCCCCATCTGGGATCCCTATCAAGTCCTGAGGACTTGATTTACTACTTGTCATGGCTTGGTTTGGGGCAGTCCTCAAGCAGAACTCGGTTTAATGATTTCTCAGTATCCCATTGTGGGAGTGAAGCAGGTAACATATATGAAGCTGAAGGCTGGCAAGTAAGAGTGTCTGATTTGGGTACTGAGGAGAGATGCTCAGCTTTGGAGAGAGTTGAGGAAATAGCTGATGTGTTTGTGTGAAGAGCTGGGCTTCCAAGTGGTCACCACTTGAGTTGCAGTGTGAGCCAGGTCTTCAGCAGGGTGGGAGCAAGGGAAGGCTGGGTCTGGGGTGAGCTGCAGTCTTGTTAGTGCCTCGCTGTGGGTCTTTCCAAGGCGATGGAGCAGGTTGTGAAGTGTGAGGCTGGTGGTTTCGCCTCCCTCGTGTCAGCAGCGCTGGAGGAGCGGTCTTTGTCAGTCTCTGCCATTTGGCAGCTGCTTCTAGCTGTGCGGGAACCTGCACCACTGAACCTGCTTATGGACGAGATTCGGAAACAATCTGGTGCAGAGTTTTTCTTCCAAGCAGGTAATGGCCTTGGTGTCCCCCCCTGCTCTCCCTGAGCTTCTCCTGCTGCTGGCAGGAGCTACTTTCTAACTCCTCACCCTCTCCCTGGCTGGGAACCTCTCTTCTTCCAGTGGGCCTCAACACCCGTGTCCTTGGTGAAACAATTGACTGTTTGGAAAAGCACTTTGGTCTGCAAACACAGGTGCTTTGCTTGTGGCTCTCTGCTTTCAGGTTTTGTAATGAGGAAGCCTTTTGAGAGCTGGCCACCATCCTGCAATAATAACCAGCTGGAGGCCCATCAGACTGAAAGCATGGGTTTCATTGGAGGTCTGTGTGCAGCCACCACCCTGTCCTCCTCAGAGTCTCAGCCTCTGGCTTTGAGTTTTCCTACTTTAAAACCTAAACTGTGCTTTTCCCCCAATATCATTGTCAAAATCTCATGCAAGTCTGAGGAGCGTTGAGGTTGGTGGTCTTGTGGGGCAGGAGAGGGAGGCTGTGCAGAGCCCAGCTTTGTGTGTTGGCCCTGTGGGCCCAAAGCTGGGGTTCACCTGCCTGCAGTCAGATGCCTGTGGTGTAGCTGCCTCCATCTGAACTCCTCTTCTCCATCACCTCTGTGCTCAGCTTGGAGGAACCAGCACTTCTGGCGTGTGGTGCATCTGGCCACTTTTTATGTGGCTGTCCTTGGATGAGGCAAATTGTGCCTAGATATGCCTGTTTCTCTGCAAAGTCAGAATGAGATGTCTATAATTGGGGGAGAGAAGAAATCTGGAGTCTTGGGAGAACCATGCCTGCCTTTTGAGTTTGTCACTGTCTCTTTCAGCAACATGCTTTGGAAGACCTGATCTTCTCACCTGAAGTTGGACAAGCAGTGAGAAATGAGGTCTGCTAGGGTTTTATGCTGGATGTCAGTGCTGCAGTTAGTATCACCAAAGCTTGCCTGTAGTTGTTTGCTGTTTCCTATGCCCTAAAGAAGTCACTCCTGTTAACGGGTCAGTTTCAGGAGCAGACTGGACGAAGCTAAGTGAAGCTAAGGCCTCCAGGTTCTCCTTGGATTTTGTGTTTTTTAAATACCTTTACTTTTTATTTTCATCTTTAGTGGCCACCAGCGAGAGCACAGCCATTGAGATCATCCTGCGCCACAGCAAGCTGATCTCAGAGGCCATCCAGCAGAGAGTGGACCCAGAGGGCTTGGCTCCAGGGGAGGCACAACTCACAGAAGCAGTAAAAGAGGTGCAAGGGGATGCTCTTGGAGCTGGCATGGTTTGGGGCTCAAAGGGTGGACAGGCCATAGCATGCACTGAAATCAAGGGACATTACTTAGGTTGGGGAAGCCATCCAAAGTTGGAGGTGACCTTCTCCTGAAGTAAGAGTGTGTTGGGTGTTTTGTATTAAATTCTGCAGGAGTTTTTAGGTAAAAGAAATTGCCAGCAAGATTCTCAGCTGGCGAAAATGTGGGTATTCAAACACAGCAAAATTGTTCCAGCTCTGCAAGGGTGCTGAAGTCCTGGAGAAAGCAGAGCTGCCAGGGGGTGGGTTTCCATTTGAGTTGGTTGTTCCAGGACATATGAGAATGAAACGCTCCTAGAAAATGCACTGAGGATGCCATGATTGTGTAGCATTCCAGAGTGCCTTGCCTTTTTTTCCTCTTTGACAAAGAAAATGGGTTGTGTTAGTTAGTAATAAGCTGGCCTTTTCCACTAAGCAGTCTATGGTTGCTCATTCTTGCTCTCGTTAGGTACTGTTGGAGATCTGGAAGGGTGAGGTATGTATGGGCATGCACAGATTCTCACCTTGGTTCTCCTTGCAGTGGCTGTCTGAAGCAGGTTTGGATTTGGAAGGGAGAGAAAAGCCCAGAGATAGTTGTATATGAAAGACAGATTTATGAGTTAGGTAAGCTTGTAATGGTGTAAGGCATTGAGGAACTGCTCTTTCTGTGGAAAGGTGGTTTTAAGTGAGCTAATACCAAAACAGAAAGTCTGAGAATTTAATTTGTTGTAACTTCTTTTTAATCCTGAAATTCTCTCAGTTCATGCACATCCATCAGTGGAGGGACAAAGACCTGTATGGAAAGGGATTTCTTTTCTGGTTTCTCAAAGCAGGTTCCCAGCAGTAGAGATGAAATAAAGCAGATGTGCCCTCACTCCCAGACCATCCCGACCTTTCACAGCCCAAAATCTCTGTCATGTGATGTTTTCTTCTTCTTCTTACTTCTGCAGCTACTGAGTATTTCTGCTCAGAAGGAAAGTTCAGAGGCCTCCTTGAAAGCAGCTCTGAGCACAGCCCAGGAGAGGTCTGTCCCGGCCATCAAGATCTGTCAGCTGCTGTGCAATGTCCATGAGTCCTTCCCGGACCTGCAGCCAGTCATGCAGGAGCTGGGGCATGTGGGTAAGAAAAGCACAGGCTTCCATCCTTCTGTGATCTTTTACACACAGTTATAGGAGTCCTGGGCAGTTTGGTAGTGGATCTCAGTGTCCTGGTGGCCTGAGGTCATTTTACAGAACTACCCCTAGCCAGGTATCCAGGTTGTACTTTCAGGAGGATTCACAGGGATGACCTCTGGATCCAAGCCCTGGAGCATGCATTTCTCCTGCTGGTAAAATGCACCATATTAAAGTTTTGTACATCATGAGGGTTGTGGAGACCATAACTTAGCCCATACTGGTATTCCTTAACTGCGTTTGCACTTTTCCACCCCAGTCCTTGCTCTGGAGGTGTTTAAGCAACTTAGTTATGTAAGTTGTATCTATATTGGCTTGTTTTTCAGAATTACTATCCTCAAGCTGTGGGGTTTCTTTGGCTCCTCCTGTATTGTTGGATCTGTATGAATTTGGACTTGTATTGCAGTCCCTTGACTTTATATGTGTATGTGTGGATACTTCACAGGCTGACTGTGGAAGGGTCACATCAGAGTGCTCTTGTCTTGTGCAAAGATGACCGTGATGGTGCAGTTTGTAGTCCCAGACTGTTTTCTGAGTTAATTTTCTTAGAGTGCCTTAATTTGGTCTTGCTGTGTATAAACTTTATAGAGCAAATGATCCCCTGGGAGGGTCCCACAGCAGTAGGGGAATGTTACATACTGTACTAGTTTGGCAAAGGTATGAACAAAACATATGCAGATAGCAATTTGTTGAACTCCAGAAACAAATGCATAGCAATAACCATGTGTGAGACCCTGCCCTGAGCTGTGGGATGCTTTCCAGCTGAGCTGAATTGTATCTCTGCATCCGTCATTTGAAGGAACAATGCTTAACAGAATTTGGTGCTTTAATGAAAAAGATAGCAGAGGGCCAGGAAGCTAACTGCAGGTTTGCGTTCTCTTGAAAAGGATGCAAATGTGACTTGCTTATTCTGTTTGTTCACGTACATTTTTATGGCGTTGTTTCCCAGTGCATCCAGATTCTTTGGGCTGCAGAATCCACTGGGATGTACACAGTGTGATTTTTTTTTTTTTTTTTTTTTTCATCCAAGCACAAGCGCTGGTTCAGCTCAATCCATCCCTATTTACTCGTGATGCCAGAGCTGCTTAGCTTACGGTGCAGTGTGGAAATACTAGCAGATTGTTAGGTAGTTAGGGTAAGCAGCTTGTTATTAATGTCTTGTCTTTTTTTAGGAGTAGGTTTAATTGCTTTGTCTGAAAATTTGGGTCAGGGCCACGATCAGTCTTTATGAATGAACACGAGCCTCCTGGCTTTGAGACTCACCATTGTTTTGTGTTTGACAGTGACAGGCAAAGCCAATGTTCCCCATGTGCTGGGAAGGGACAGAGAGTGACCCGCTCCTAGGTCACTCTCTGCACCCTAGGTTAGTTAGCTTGCCTGCGTTCTTGAGCAATGAGGCAATGTTGGGGTGGTAAAAGGGACTGGGTGACGGGGAGCGGGGCATGTGTAGAAGAAACTGAGGATCTGGATTACTGCTCTAACCGTAGGGCTTGGAGGGTGATAGCACATGCTCCGCTCTGCTTTCTTGACTCAGTGGCCTTAGTGGTCTCCCTGAGAGATGTCCTACACTGTAGATCCAGTATTCATGCCCAGTTCAGATCTAGGTCCTCTCTTGTAACTCCACCAAGAGTTGCCACCAATCCAGTTGGCTTTTTAACCTGGTAATGGCCCTGATGAGGATTTCCAGAGAAAAGGCAATTCCTTCTTATCTGCCATTCCTTCTCTGTCTCCTTCGAAAGCTGCAGGCGCTTGTCCTACTCCCCTTGACCCTGTCTGACCTTGCGATGTGCCAGGGCTGATGCCCTGGTGACTCTAGAGGAGGTAAGCCAACAGCAATTGCATGTGCCTGTGAATGTGCAGCCCACCTAAGCTCTTGAACACCTTGCAGTGAGGGACCTGGGGAGTCAGCTAGATTGCTCTGGCAGATGCCTGCTTCTCTGGCACCAATATCAAAGAAAGCAGACTGCTGTTACTAAGTGTCTTTGCAGGGCTTCAAGCCAAGGTTGAGACGAAATCAAGCAAGAAGCAACATCAAAAACAAGAGCCCTGGAAAAATGGTATTTACTTGGCAAAAATGTATATTCTGTATGAAGTGTTCAGAGGAGGATTGCCAGTTACCAGCCCCTTTTTGGCATCCTACAGATCTTTACACTGAACTTCCATATCTTAATTTCTAGGCCAGTCTCCTCAGCTCTGATATCACTGCTTACCAGCCCTAGATGTTGCAGGTGGCTTTATGGATCAATAGCCATGTGGGTCTTGGCATGAGATATGAGTGATAACTGCAGGCCTCATGTTTGAGGGATGTGAGCTTCCACTTGAAACAGAGGCGATCTTACATGTCTGAAGAACGTATGTGCTGTGTGGAGATGCGTACAGTTTGCGTTTCCATTTGAAGGCAACGGTTTTTACATCTCTGCTGAATAAAAAAAAAATAATTCTGGTACTTAATTTAGGTGAGCTGAAGCAGTTGGAAAGCACTAGGCATCCCTGTGGAGGAAATTGTCTGTGTCCATCCCCAACCACATTCAGCATCACCAAAGTAATGGGTTGGTTTCTTTGGTGGAGGTACAATATGAAATCTGTTGGTTTCTCCTTGGGTGCCTTCTGTAGTCAGAGCACTTTCCCTGTTGGCAGCTGGTGCATGCAAGGATGAGGTTTGGCTCTTCCAGCCAACTCCACAACCTTCTCCTTAGCCAGCTGCTTTCCAGGTCTCCATGCAATCACTTCTTGGGAGATCATGTTTGTCAAAATATGTCTCACTTTCAAATCTCAGAAATGCATCAAGAACTCCAGCAAAAAGGCTTTTCCTCTGCATAGTCTTGTGTTTAAAAATGACAGTTAGCATCTAACTTAGGCCATCTAACTTAGGCCTGGGTCAGCCCCTGGAATTGTGAAATTGGAGGGTCTGCAAGCAAATGCCATTCTCCTCTGTAGAAGTTCTGCATTAGAAGCCACTATGCGTGTCAGCAAACATTGGAATGACCTTCAAGATGCAAAGGGGTAGGTGGAATTTTCTTCCAGCTTAAGCTGAAGAAGTGAGAGATGGGATGGTCACACCCTAAGAGATCTTCTGCCTCTGGAGTTCTGCAGGGAGGGTAGAGCAGCCACCAGGATTATAGACTCAGCAGACCACTTAAAAAAGAGAAAGAGAACTTGGTGTGAAATACACTGTAATTAATAGCAGGGTTTTTCTTCCAGTGCTGAATGTCTTTGCCACCAGAGAGTGGAAAGTGCTGCGGAGTCCAGAGTCGCAGACGACCCCATAGCTGGGAATTCCTGTCTGGGACCTTTTCTGGTGTATGTTTACCCTGGGCTCTGTCTGTTCCCAGGAGGCTCAGCCAGGGGCATGGCCAAGGCATGCTAAGTTACTGCCCCTCAAACTTGATGTGCAATCACTTCTTCACTCTGGTCTTGTTTCTCACGAGGGCACTCAAGCTCACCTCTAAGCTTCCTACATCTCCAAGGACAGAAGTTGGCTGGGTAATGTCCGTTGCTCAGTGCTGCTCTCATGAGGTATGAAATGTTGTCTTCACCCATAGGAGGGGTTCTGGCAGACAACCTGGCTGCCAAGTGGAAAGGAATTGCTGCCCTGATGTAGCAGTGCCATGTGTCCTCTCTTCTGTTCAGGCAGCAGCCAGCCTGTGGTACTTGATGCTGTTAAAGAAACCTGCAAGCTCAGCAACCTGACGCCTGACCTTACTGCCACATCAGCTTTGCGTCGTGCAGTTTAGCATGTCTCCCATTCTCCTGTCTCATGGTAGCCAGATGTTGAAAGGCTTTTGAGGATGTTTTCCATCATGGCAAGGTTCCTCCTGCCATCCAGGATGTATATATTACACTGGCACGGGACTACAGGGTGCAGGTACCTAGCCATCAATTTCATGTGATCTGCTTCAGCTTTCTTTCAAAACTGTTCTCTGGGAGTAATAGCATCCCCCTGAAGATGGAGAGCTGTTCCTGGAGCCCCTTTATGTATTTCCCCATGAAGGTGGACTTAAGTTGAGAGCTCCCCCTGCCTTTGTACCATTACAGTCTTGTGCTGTTGGCTAGGCTAAAGATTTGTAATCCTGAACACCATTTTCACAGGCATAAGAGCAGGAGGACCATGAGCCAGCTTTTGACCCGCTAGGGTCTGTGGCAAAACTCCACTTCATCTGACTCAGGTTGCACCCCTGCTGCCATAGTGGTACTTCTAGATGTTTCCAGTCCTGGTGTCCTTAACGCTCACATCTTCCTCCACGTTCATCCTCATCCACATTCATCATCATCATCAGGTTTAAAGATTCTTCTTCACTTGGGTCAGAAAAACTGACAGTGTTGGTTGTAGGGATGTGGGAAGAGACCTTAGAGGTGAAAGGTGCGTATTGCTATCTTTATAGAGCAGGTCAAACTGGAAACCAGTCTTCCAGTCTTTTTCTCCCTTGATGTGTTCACTGGTTGGTGGGTCACCACTTGACATCTTAAGATTTCCAAGTGTGTTGGAATATCATCTAGTTTCTAGTTGGGTTGGAAATCCAGGACAGTAGCGCTGTGCAGGGAGGACACTTGCTGAGCTCTTCCCATAGTGAGGAAGGTAGAAATGAAGTTTTGCAAGCACAGTGTGAATTTCCTGTGCATTGGCAAAAGGAGAAGTCTGCACTGGTTTCCATGGCCACACAGTTGCATGGTTCTCATTAAAGCAAAGAAGCCAAATATATGTTTGTATTTTGATTTCTTCCATATATGCATTCCCTGTGGGTCTTTTTTGTAGATTGAGATCCTAGGTGAATTTTCCAGCTTGTGCTTTTTGAGATGATGGTGTTACAGGAACTCAGAAAAGCATTATACTTTGTAAGAAGTGAATGTAATGAGTGATTTAGAATACCTCAGGGCCCTAACCAAAAAATTCAAAAGGATCGTAGCAAGATTATCTGTTCCCTTTCAAAGAGTTTGTGTTTGGGAAGTGTTCCTGAGATTTCTTGTAATTAATGGCTGGATATCCACTCTCAATGGCAGACTTAGACAGTAGCATACCTGAGGCTCAGATCTTCAAACATTTTAGCACAGCTGTAACTTCACGTGTCTGAGCAAGAGGCAGATGCTTGGAAGCAAAAGTTGTTCCTGTTTGAGGATCAAGCTCTTTAGAAAATCTGGCCCTGGCTCTTGCCACCTCATCCAACCCCTGTTATTCATGGGTAGAGAAATTCAAGGTCTGGTCTTTCATGCATCGTACCATCCATGGCCACAGCTACTTCTGGGCAGAGCCTTGTGCCACCATTGTGATGGGACAGCGTGTCTGATACTTGTCTGTTATTGCTGTTCAGGGACAACTGTCTGTGTAGGAGCATTCAGGAGATGGGAGACTGAGGGGCTGGTGCCTAGTCCTAGTGGTCACCACTGAATCAGGAATTGCTTTTTCTGTAGGTCTCTTGACTGAGGGAAGTGGGGAGAAACCTGGGATCAGGAAGTGGAAGGTGAACAGTGAATCCCAAGTTGAAGCTCTGGACAAAGATGAGGACAAGGTGGGAGATGCCACTGCCAAGGAACTGAGGGAACCCCAAGAAAAAGCTTCTTCCAAGAAGACTTTTGTCTGCAAAGCCTGCAATAAGACCTTCCATTTCTACTGCCGCCTGAAGGTGCACATGAAACGTTGTCGGGTGGCCAGAGGAAAGCAAATCCAGTGTAAGGAGTGCAGCGAGGTCAAATCGACGAAGAAGGAGCTGGAGAAGCATCAGCTGGAGGTCCACGGAGTGATGGGGATGGCCAAGAAGAAGAAAAAGCGTCTCCCTGTGGCGTGTGACATCTGTGGCCGAGAGTTTGCTCATGCCTCAGGTACGGTTGGTGGGAGCAGGGGTGTTTGGAAAGTCTGGACAATATAATAAAGTGATAGTCTGAAATCTCCTCCTCCTCCCTGCAGCTCTGTGAGCACTGTGTGTGAGAAACACAGCTCAGCTCATTTCTCCTGCCCCACTGAGCACAACCACTTTCTGATTAGTTCTTCCCTAATTGGTTTTCCACATGGCTCATCAAAGAAAAGTGGGGCTACTGGCAAATTTAAAAGCCTCCAAAAATATCAAGCTGTTTCAGTTCTGTGGCTGGTTTAGCAGGATGAGTAAGAGGACTTGAGTCTCTTTGCCCTCCCTGTGGCAGCTCATGATATCATGGTGGACCTCTGGGCCAGAGGACACCGGTCGACCCCCGGTGTCATGGGTGGGCTGGTGGACCTCCAGGCTGGGTGGACTGGTGCGTCTGAGCAGGGTCAGGCAGGGCTGGCAGTGGGTCCCACCGGTGCCACCTGGGTGTCCTGCCTGCCTCCCCAGGGATGCAGTACCACAAGCTGACGGAGCACTTTGATGAGAAGCCCTTCACCTGCGAGGAGTGTGGGGCCAAGTTTGCGGCCAACTCCACACTGAAGAACCACCTGCGGCTGCACACAGGGGACCGGCCCTTCATGTGCAAGCACTGCCTGATGACATTCATGCAGGCCTCAGCCCTTGCGTACCACACCAAGAAGAAGCACGCTGAAGGTGAGCCCTCCCTGTGGAAGCCTGGCCATGGGCTTCGCTTGCTCCATCCACTAGTTCATGCTCTGTTCCTCCATCTGCCTCCTGGCTGCTTCCCCATCCTTTGGGGGAGTCCTGGGCAGCAGGCTGCTCCCAGATCTCCTTCACCTGCACGGTTTTGTTTGCAGTTCCCCACTCTGCTTTTCTCCCATGCCCTTACTCCTACAAGACTCCACTCCTACAAGGACTCCATGGTCCTCTGATTAGCCACCCAGTTAGCAGTTTGCTCTCCATTAAAGGGATCTTCCTCTGCCTTCCTTGTTTTTCTCCTGAGTAGCTCCTCTCAGTCCCCTCACATCTAGACTCCTGTGATGCATCCTTCTCCCTCTGGTTAACCAGCTTTCTCCCATCCCTCCCTCTAGCTGAATTTCACGTAGTTTTTCATGCCAGTGCTTCTTCTGCCCCTGCACTCAGCCCCATGTGCTACTGGGGTTTAAGTATGCCTCTTCCAGCTGATCGGCACAGAGGATGCATTGCTGTGTTTGTAAGAAATACGTTTGGGTGTATTTCCCACTGTTGCACTAGTGTGATGCGGTTGGGCAATTAATTTTGAACATGAGGCACACCAGTGTGTAGTACCTCTGGATACTTGAGGTTTGTAGTAATTTAATATTTCCTGTGCAGTTGTGGTTTTCTCCAGCACCTCTAGGACTTTTTGACTCTGTGCTGTTACGCTTTGGCTACCACAGGAAAGTCTGTCCACTTTACAATCTCTTCCCCCTCCCTTTGAAATTAGGCATAGTCCAGACAGAGCTACTGTCCTGCTAGGTGCAGGCTCTCACCCTGGGTGTCGCTGCAGGGAAGATGTACGGCTGCCAGTACTGCGATGCTGTGTTCGCCCAGTCCATTGAGCTGTCACGCCACGTCCGGACTCACACGGGGGACAAGCCGTACGTCTGCCGGGAGTGTGGGAAAGGCTTTCGCCAGGCCAACGGGCTCTCCATCCACCTCCGAACCTTCCACAGTGAGTGTGGCCAGCTGCCTCCCTGGCTTGGGCCGTCCAGCCTGCGAGGCACAGCTTCTGTGGGGTCATGGCAGACCCATCTGTGCTAGGGGAGGCTTGTGTGGGTGTTACTGGTGCCTGGAGGCTGTCTGGGAGTCTTGTGGTGGGATTTTTCCCTCTCAAGAAAAGCAAGACTCTTTAGTGGTTTGATGCTATGAGTAGGGTTATCCCAAAGAAAATGGTAGGGGTGACTTCCAGCAAATTGCAAGCTGCTGGGAACCCACCATGGGAAGCTGTAGGTGAGCAGGAGCAGCAACATCTCTATGCAAAGCCAAAACTCCAGTGCTAGTTTTTGTCTGGGAAGTAACAAGTTTTTCTTTCCCTTTTCTTTCCTCCCCCTGTGAAATCCCCTCTTAATTATTTTTTTTCCTTGATTTCTTTGTCCCCTGTGGTTTTTTTCTGGGCATTTCTGGGCGGCAGACATTGAAGATCCCTATGACTGCAAGAAGTGCCGGATGAGCTTTGCCACCTTGCAGGAGCACCGCAAGCACGTCCATGAGGCCCACTCTCGGGAGTACCACCCCTGCCCCACCTGCACTAAAGTCTTCAGCGCCCCATCCCTCCTGGAGCGCCACATGGTGACTCATGTCGGAGGAAAGCCCTTTAGCTGTGAGATCTGTGACAAAGCTTACCAGGTGAGCTGGTGCAGCAAGGATTTGGTCTCATGTGCTGGAGGTTACCATTGCCCACTCCTGCACCAGGATGTCTCTCCTGGCCATGGGCACTGAGTGGAGCAGTTTGTGGTCAGCAGAAGGAAAAATTGCACAGAGGAGGCAGAGTTTGTAGGAAAAAGGCAAGTCCATGGCGAGAGATGGGCCGTGACTGCAAAGGGCTACATACCTGCCCATCTAGACCCTGACGAATCCCTTTCACCTAAGTATCTAGCTGCCAAGAAGTGTAGAAATAAAAATACTTGTGTTGCAAATGGCATACCTCAGTGGGAGTGTGTGTGGGAGCGCATTCCTACAAGGGAGCAGAAATTCAATGCCAAAAGGGGACCTGCAGTGAGTGAGATGAGGATGAGGGAGTCAACAGTGTTCAGCTTTTCGGGGGCAATGGAGAAACAGAAGTGAGGTGTTAGCTCTTGTCCTGTGGGAGAATGAGCAGGTCTTGTATCTGCTGAGTACAACCCCACTGTTCCTGTTGCTTTCCACACAGTTTCTTGCTGTCATGATGCCCCTGGAAAGGCTTTGAATTGTAACCATGATTTGATCCTTATCATTGCAGCAGTTGTCAGGGTTATGGTATCACAACCGGACCCACCACCCTGATGTCTTTGCAGCTCAGAATCACCGCTCCTCCAAGTTCTCCTCCCTGCAGTGCAGCTCCTGTGACAAAACCTTCTCCAGCACTGCTGCTCACCGAAAGCATGTCAAGACAGAGCACACAGGTAATGGCCCATTCTTTAGCGAACAAAACCGTGTGGTGACTGCTGGGAGAGATGTAGTAATAACTCTGATAGGACAAGGCTGCACATCCTGTTTACCTGCAAATCACAGTAGATTCTTTGTATCCTGTAGCAATCTCTTCTGGCAAGTCTCATCTCAGTGTCTTGCAGCTCACTTGCTCTTGGCCTCTCCTTTTCCTGCCTTATCTTCAAAGATGCTCCTCATGTCTGTATGCATGTGTGGTGCTGCTGAAGTATTAACAGAGCTCTGGTCTGGAAGGTCTCTTGTAGAAGACCTTGGGTGCATGCTTTTCTGTTCTTGCCCTTGTTTGCAGATGTGAAGTTCCACGAGTGCGAGACGTGCAAGGAGCTCTTCCCCACGCTGGCCCTCCTGCAGGTCCACGTGAAGTGCAGGCACTCAGGTCTGTTACATTTGCTGTTGTTCATGTTACCTTGTGAGCAATGACTGCTCCTATCAGTGAGTGACATCTAAGCTTTAAGCGGGAGAGTGAAGATGGACATGGTAAGGAAGCAGAGTGTGAGGAAACAGAAAATATGGATGTAGTGGAAAAGCACTGGTTTTGGTGAGGCTGGGACATGTTTGTTAAGCTTCTGGAGCCACTGGAGTCAAGGAGGGATCTGGACTTGCTTGTTACAGCAGAGAGCTAAGTGCAGGTGAGGAGACATCAGCATAGAGAAACGAGGAACTGAACCCCGAGCGTTGGGGTTTGTGGAGGGTAGAGCTAGTGGGAGACTGGATTAAAAAAGGAGTTTAGCACCAGAAAGATTAGAGAGGGCCTTGGGCTTGGGGAGACCACATCAAGGGCCCTTTGGCAAGCGAGCAAGCTGAAGCAATGTTGTGAGGACAGAGTGCACTGACAGACCAGACTACTACAAAAGGTGGGTCCCCAGGGCTGTGCATGGGATAGCAGGAGAGGAGGTGGATCAGGAGACATTGGAGGGGGTGGCCAACCATAGCCTGGAGAGTGAGGAAGGAGAAGACCTAGACATAGCTCTCTCTGAGATGAGAGAGCCTCTGGGGTGGATAATGGGTTTGCAGTAGCTGAATCGGGAAGTGCAAGCCAGGCCAACAAGGAGCAGTGCTGGACAGTGCGAGGGAACAGGGAGAAGAGCTGTCTGCAAGAAGGGACAGCTGTGGCTACAATCAGATACACCAGCCTGGTTTCAGAATGCCAGTGCTGCAGGGAGCTAGAGCTGAATCAGATCTGAACGGCCACAAACTGTTTGACAGACAGTGGTGTAGCCAAGAGAAGGGACACTGGCACGTGCTGTGCCTTGAGTCCCTGGTGGGTTTCAGCGCTGTGTGTCCTGGCTATTTGCAGCTCCCTGTGCCCTTGGGCTGACCCTGGCCATCGCAGCCCAGGCTCAGGGCAGTGCTTCTCCCTGCAGGCTCCCAGCTGTTTTGCTGCTTGTACTGCTCAGCATCCTTCCGCTTCCCAGGGGCCCTGCAGAACCACGTCACCAGTGAGCACTTCAAGCAGACGGAGAGCACCTTCACCTGCAAGCTCTGTGGGGAGCTCTTCCCCTCCCAGGGCGAGCTGGAGGGGCACTACAGTGCTGAGCATCCCAAGGTGGTCTTCTCCCAAGCCACCACGGCCCAGATTGTGCAGGTACAGATTGCTCTGTGCTGCAGCCCTCGCGGTTGTTCACCCAACCTCCCCCTCCAACCCTCTTATTCTTCCCAAATCCACCCTGTGGCTCCTGTCACCCCTTCTGCTCCCCAATTCCCCCTTCTTAGAGGGGTCCAGGATGCAAGCCCTTCAGCCCACAGTGCTCTAGGATTTCTGTGCTAGTGTGAGGCGGGCTTGCTGGAGGGGAAGCAGCTCAGTCCTGGTTTTCAGGAGCCGATGAGGAGGGACTGACAGTGTGTGCAGAGGTGCCTGGTTACTCAGAGGCTATTAGAACGCAGATGACATACCCTGTGAGATTATAGCTGTTTTGTTGGACAAATGCTAGGCTTGAACCCAGACTCTTGCTCTTCAATACCTCAGCCATCAGTGGAGAACAGCTCCTCGGATGAGGGAGCCCAGTGTACAAGATTCCCTGGGCTGGCATTCCTCCAGTGGATAATCACAGAGTGTTTATTGTCTACAACTGCTTGTGGAGCTAAATTATAGCAATTTTGTGGAGAGAAATATTTAAATTACTCTCTGTTCTTCTCTTTTGCATCATTGGTGTATGTGGTTTGGTGTTTCCCATTAGTCTCATGCCTATTGTAATTGCAGACCTCTGGTGTGAAGCTAAATGTTATTACTAGAGCTGGGGCTGGGAAAGATGTGGGTAGCAAAGTGATTGTGGGGAAAGCAGTGCTGTAAGTGTCTGACTCTCAGGTCATCTTCCATGCAGGTGATTCAGACATCAGAGCAAGGAGCAGCAGAGCACATCATCTCTTTCGACAACGCCCAACTTGCTGGCTCCCAAGTCTTTGTGACGTTGCCCGAATCCCAAGCGAGCCAAACTGGCTCCGAGCTGGTGGCAGTGACTATGGAGGACTTGTTTGATGACAAAGTCACTCTGATTTGTGAAGAAGCCAAGTGAGAGCGTGTGGCAGGTGCCCGTGCATGGCGCCTGGTATCCACTAGACTCGTTCAGGAGCTGTACCTCAATGTGCTGCTCCAGCAGGGAGATTCAGGCTTTCTTTGGGAAAGCAACCCTGGCTATGTGTCAACGCGAAAGAAATGGCATGCAGCAAGCACAGCATGGCCATGGACTGGAGAGATTTGTAGACATTCACAAGGGCCTGGGAAGTCTCCCTGCAGTCAGCAGCTGCCAGCTCAGGTGAGCTGGACCACCCATCTCTTCCGGCTCAAGAGAAATAAAGAAGCAGAGGAAAAGATGGGAATATGGTGTGTTCATGTGTGTTCCTCCACTGCTGTGAACAGAGTGGAGGAGAGGAGACTAGTGCAGGACAAAGTTGGGGTGGTATGGGTACGTGAAACCAAAGAAAAAGCTGTCCTGAGAATTCAAGGTGGAGATTTTTATGGCTGAATCAGTGATGTGCTCACAGGTATCTGCTGCTTTGCAGGGTGAGTAAGGGCTGCTTTGTTTCTTCTGTTGCTCTCCCATGTACCGTTGTGCTGCCTGTTGTGCCAGCTAGAAAACTCCTCCAGCGCAGAGCTGACATTTGGGCCTCTCTGCTCAAGCAGAGACTTCTTGGGAGTTGTGCTAAATGGCTTTGGAGCTGTTTAGGTAATATCTTGTGTAGCACAGGTCTGATCCCATCCATGTTTTTGCTGCGACTGTCCATTACAAAGAGGGGTCACAGGCAGGTCTGGGCATCCACATCCTCTTTGCAAGCAAACAGCCCAGAGATCTCCCACCCCTCCTCTAATTCACTGAGCACGTGCTGGAGCTGCCACATCTGAGAAAGGAGAAGGAGCTGTGCCTGCATGCCAGGGGCCCTCGTTACTGGTATCAGTGGATTGGATCTGATGAAGGCATTTCTGTCTGAGTGTGCAATAGCTGCTGTGACTGCACATAGAAGTTCCCCGTGGCACACAGGGCATTGCTTTGTAAAATGCATTCAGATACCTACTGTAAAGTTTGCTCCTCTGGTGCCAGCACGATGCAACAGCTTCATTGCAGCATACTGGCCCCTTTAAGGCTAAATTTCATAAAGCTTTTTTATCTGCAGTTTCCTAAAATATAATCTGATAATTAATGGTTTGCTGAATCAATTATGAAGTGCAATTAGATAGATGCAGGGTTCCTGTGGCTCTGAGGGGACTGGTAGCATTTATCTTCCTTTCCCTCATGCCAAAAGGTTGAACTCTGCCACTGCAATATTTACATACTGAGTGGTGATCCCTGCCGCATCTTGCAGCCTGAGACCCTGCAGTGAGCAGCACCCGTTTTATCATGCTGCCCAGAGCCGCGAGAGCACAAGAGATGAACAGATTGGAGTTTTCCAGCAGCATCTTGTGCTGGCTGCTCACAGCCACCAGTCAGAGATGGTCACACAGGAGCATGCCAAGGTGGTTGTGCCAGTGAGATAGTTTGTTGTTCCTATTACAACTTGGAGAGAAGTGAACAGCAAGGGGTGCTCCCAGGGGAGCGGCTTGGTGGAGCTAATGTTCTGCATGGCGTTTTTTGTGTGGCAGCAAGCATATGACCCCGTTGAAGTGTTGCACATCTCTTGAAGGGCTCCCACCTTTCTCTTCCTTGGTTGCATGTACAGGCTTTGAGGTGATGGTGAAGTGGGGGATGCATGAGTTTAAGTTGCCACTGAGTCCAGGAATGACCAGGAGATGGTGCTCAAGGTCTTGAGGATTAGTGCTAATGGCCAGGTGCCTCTGCACCTTTGCTGAAGCTCCTCTTAGCCTTCCCAGGCCTTCCTCAGCTCCTGGGCTGGCAGGTGTGGAGAGCCCTTGAGCCACTGCAAAGCTGAAGGACAGCTCGAAGCCCTGGACAGGACACCTCCAAACCCTGGATATCATTGCTTAAAAAGAAGAACCTGAAACTGGGCTGTGGCCACGTGTGGAGAGGGTAAAATACATCTGTTACTGAGGTGAAGCAGTGAAAAAGCCTGAGATCCCCCTTGGCCAGGAGAAGAGCAGAGGGGGAACTGCTGGAGACCATCTCATGCCTGCCTGGACACAGAAGAGCTGTGTGTGGTGCTTAGGATGAGCATGGGGATAATGACAGAACAAGCAAGTATGTCTTGATGGTCTCAGAGCAGATATGTTGGGAGGTAAGTGGTGGATTTTGTCCTGCAGGCTGGTGGAGATGGAAGCTGTTCACTCTTTTCTGGCTCTGTGGGGGCTGGGAGCTGTGGAAATCCTGCACAGGCTCCATGAGTGCTCTGGAGCAGGGGTTGTATTGTCCAGGTGATGCTTTGCAGATGTCCTAGCCTTCATTTGGGAGTCACTATCTGCAGGGAGCACTAGGTGAAGCTGATCTCCCTTTGTTCCTGAAAAACTCTGGAGGAAGAGTAAAGATTTAGCAGAGTTTGGGGAGAAGTTGCCTTATTTTATAGCCCTCTCGTAAGGCAGAGGGAGCTTAGCTAGGGAAGAGCATGCAAGTGATGCATTTTGGTTTTGATCCATTTGATCCTCGGCTGTTGACTGAGTGTTGTCACAGTTGAAGGAGGACAGTGTAGATCACACATAAGGCACAATTCAGGCTCACCTCTCCTGTTTAGGGCCATCTCTCCTGCCTTTGTGCCCTGCAAAAGCCTGTGTGGTTGTATCCTCGGCAGTCCTGCCAGCAGTATAGACCCAGTGAGAGCTCTGCAGCTGTACAGAGACCATCAAGCATCTCCTGTATCATTATGAGGAGATAATAACTCGGATCCCCACGTTCCAGTTCCTTCCTGATGGATGAAATATGCACGTCAGAGCAAATTGCAGTGTTAGCAACACCTATGTAGTACCCAGAAGGAAGATGCATTTCCCAGGGCACATCCTGGTCTGGTGCACAGCGCTGAAGATGCTGATCACTAGCGATTTCTTGTTATGCTGCGTATTCTTTTTTCCTCTGTAAAAATAAAACATGGAGAATGAATGATGTAGATACAGAGTGTCATGTGAAGCAATTGATTGGAAGGAAAATGTGATTTTTGCAGGTCTTATCCCAGGTGCTGGGTGACCCATTGAGTTTTATGGTGGGGTCCTGTGCCCCTCTTGACCTTGGTGCCATCCTCTGTAGGGAAGTGGAGAAGCTGTTGTCGGGTCAGGCTGGAGCATGGGAGCGTTCTGCCCTTCACTGTGTCCTCCTGTTGCAGGTGTCAGATGCTTTTGGAAAAAGGGCAGAGTGACTATAACAGAAGCCTGGGGAGTAACATCCCATGGAGGATGTTAGATCAGTTAATGGTTTCTATATCTCCATGCATTAATTGGTGCCATTTAGGGTGGAGGATTAAGCTTATGACTGTTAGGAAATGTCTGTTTTCTGCACAGCTTTCATTCTGACCTGGTGTCTGTCCTGTTCACTGAAGGATCCTTTGGAAAAAGGCAGGGTGCCACTGGGTGTGGCAACAGCTGTGAGCAGCCCTTACTTGGCGTTTCCCAATGCAAAGTGTAATTTTGCAGCTCCAAGGTGTTATTTTAACACAGTATATGTAAATTCTGTGCTCTGGGCTTTTTTTTTTTTTTTTTTTTTTAAAAATCCAACCCATCTGTGATTAGGTGCAAAGATAATGCTGCCTTGCCCAGGAGTGAGGAATGGAGGTGGTGGGAGCATGGGGGAGTCGGACATTGCTTGAAGCCTCTCCTGGGGGAAAGGAAGAGAAGAGCAGGTACCAGTGGTCTAAAACCCTCTGTGCGAGTCAGGCAAGCCCTGGCAGCCCCTGCGCCCTGGCTGATGCTGATGTCTTGGCAGATTTCATTATTGGTCTGGCAGGCTGCCAGCATGTCCCCAGCAAATTCAAGCACTGGAAAAGGGAAGCAATGTTTTCAAACGGCCTCCAGCTCAGCAAACGCTGAGCAGAGTTTCGTAGGGCAGAGATGAGATGCTTCAGCAGCCAGAGGGAATTCCCTCTCTTGAATATCGGTGGTTTGCTGCAGACAGTGAGAGCTGAGGTACTTCCCTGGGAGATGGGCTCAGTAACCTTTTGTAATGGGGAGGAGCAGGCTGGCTAATGGAGGGGGCTCGGCTGCCTCTCCAGCATTGGTTAATACGTCTAATCCCCCAGTACAGTCAGCTGTATGGTGCCTTCTTGCAGTAAGTCGCCACGATTCCTAATTTCCTGAGTTAAAACAGTAATTCCTTTTATTGAGTCTCCAGCCAGCCTTTTGGACATGATGAGAGCGCAAGCAGAAGTTCTCACTTTGCCTTCCCTGCACCATTTATGATCACTCAAAGCAGGAAATCTGTCCAGGTTTCTAATCATATTTAAGCAAACCTGATAAAGTGTAGCTCTTAGTCCATTTAATATGACACACATGGATGCTGCATAGCACCTGCTGTTAAGTTGCTATATATAGCTCTCATCTACAAACAGGAGTAGGGCTTGGAAGCACCCATGGGTTGGACCATGGCACCTGTTTCTGTGACTTGCAAGGAAACAAAGTCCTTGCTGGCAAAGCGTGTGGGCAAGACAGAGGCTGGAGGAGCAATAAGGAGCAGTGGGGATCCAAATTGCCTGGCACGCGGGCGCAGTCAAGCTGTGTGCATCTTAGCATTGCTAAATGTCAGGCTGCATATCTGGGACGAGGTGATGCTGGCCGTGCGGACGGAGGGGGGGGACTGTGGTCAGGATGTCTGAAAGCATCCTGAGGTCTGCTGGTCGTAACTGGAGGCGTGTGGAGCTGTGGGCGACGTTTGGGGGCTTTAGTGGCTGCTTTTGGCAGAAGTTGGGAGGTGTTTACTGCTGCCCCCTGCTCTGAGCATTGCTGCAACTAGATGTCATTCCCATACAGCTGCTCACCCACAGCAGTGTATGACAACTAAATGACAAATTGAAGGCTCTGCAGGAAACAACTATCAGTACAAGTCAAGAGCTGGAAAATCTGCCTTATTGCCCGAGAATGAAGAAGCTCTAATTGCTCAGTGTGGCTAAGGGGTGACCTGGTGGCAGCCTTCACCCCACTGTGCTGGGGGACTGTGTTCACTCCTGTCTCTGTACTCTAGCAAAGGCAAAGTGCTGAAGGGCATCAACACTAGTAAGGGTCCATCTGTACAGAGCACAAATGCTTAGATTTGCCTTATTTCCCTTCCCTGCTTGGACACCCTTGAGATGCCCCGCATTAAGGGCAGTCCAGACAGTGACCTTTTCACTTCTAACAGGAGTAGTCAGTCCCTGTCTTATTCCCAGGGAGCTCAGGGTCAAGTTTGTTGGCCAATATTTCCTTCATCCCCTGGATCAGGGATACTTACAGCCCTGCAGCATATGGGAAGCCTGGTCTGGGCAGGCTGTCTGCTTGTGTTCTTCTCTGTACTTCCCAGACCTTCTCCCACTGGCCCTGAAGCCTCTTGCAGATGGGGAGGGCTGGCCAGGATGGGTCTGTTGTACACATCCTTGCTTGGGGCAAAAAGTAGCTGCCAACAAATGGGTCTGTCCAGATAGATTAGATTTAGCTTGGTGCTGTGCAAAATTGTCTCAGTCCCTAGGTCTTCCAGCCACTGGAGGCTTCCTGCCGGAGATGGAGTTTGCTCTCCTCCTCTTGGCTGTAATAAGGTGAGCAGAGCCCTGCCTTGGGTTTCAAACTGCCTGTGGAGATAATCTGTGCCCCGCCAGCTGTGCTGAACCTGCTAACAGGCATGATGATGGCTTTCCCTGACATGTGAATCTGGCTTTCTCTGCCCACGGAGGCCAAGGCCATATGCCACCTACTCCATGGTGTTGGCCTTCTTGGCCAGCACTTTGGTAGGGAAGAGTTGAGCTCCAGTCCTTGCCAGACACCCTCATCCCACCACTCTGCTGTGCTTCAGCTGGACAAGGTCTCCCTGCAGGTTCACCCCAGCCTTCCACTCACCTTCACCCAGTCTGTCATCACCCAGAGCATCTCCCCCAAAGCTCACCCACGGAGATGGTACGTCTCGACATATGCTTCCCATGAGCTGAGCCCCATGCAGGGCTTTGCTGTCTGTAGCGACTACATGTGGATGCACATCTGGAAAGTCTCTAGCTGCTGGTAAATAACTCCCATTCTGGCCTTCTGCAGGAGTTGAAAGGAGGGCTCTGTGCTGGGTGGAAGATGGGTGGGAAGGCTGGAAGGACCCCTTGGCAATTACAAACATGTGGGTCATCCAGCTTTATCCAGCTTGTGTTGTTTTCATTTCTTCCAGCTCAGAGGCTGCAGTAGAGACAGTATTTAGAGCAGGGCCGCCCTGTCAGTTGATACTTAATGCCATAATAATATTACATTTGTTTAGCCCATTGCACTTCAAACCTTAAGTTGTTTCTTTTGTCTCTGAGCATTTAATAGCTGTTATTGAGCTGTCCAGTGACACACAGGGCTTTTTCCAGCATGGTTATAGATGATAGTGAATTTGGCGATACGCAGGAGTAGGTCAGATGATCCCTATGGCATGCATGAACTTCCATTTATCAACACTACGTTTCCCTTGCAGCGAAACTGGTCTCTGTTAGCAGTGAATTCCCTCTGCAGCTTCTTACAGCCTCTCTCATCGACTAACCCAGATAATCCTCTGCTATCTGCCACATCTCTGTAGATCTATTAAACACACAAAAGTTCTGGTGTCCTTGTGCGTAACCAGGGTAGGTTGTGAGATTTT